CTGGACTCTGCAGAGGCTCCAAGACTGAGACCTTGTCCATCAAACTAGCTCCTGCTTGGGATTGTGGGAATCCAATGTGGACATCAGGAGCACAAGAACATACGGACCAGCAGTTCTTATTGAAATAACTAAAGCCAAAGGAGAACACAGTCACATCTGCCAAACCAGTGAAGTCTCAGCTGGTTCGACAAATCCATCACAGTAGAATCACCTCTGTAGGTACTGTCCTTCACAGGGCAGTCCTCTCTCCAGCACCTGTTGTTAAGTGCTGTCAAGTCAGTTCCAACTCAAAGCCACCCTGTATACGGTATCTGAGGAACGGCTGGTGAGCTTGAATCCAGGACCTTGCAATTCAACCCAACCTTGCAGTCCAGCGCATTAATCGCCAGCACCACACCAGGACTCCCCAGCACCTGTAGGAAACATAATTAGTGTATTGAGTCACAGAACTTGGCTGAGGAGACGATGACATGGTCAGAAATACAGTGGGTACTTTTCTTGTAATACAAGCACTGAAAGACTGCAGTGAATGCACCCTTCCATTTAGCAACTCAAGAAAGATGACTGCCTGGTCATTCGTTGACACTGCTGAGCAGGGGATTTCATGCATGAGGTTGGACAGATTTCCAAATTTAGTAGCTCTTGGGTTTAGAGATCCCACCAATGGAGTATCTCACTACTTCTCTCTTAACCCTCAATCCTGAGGAGTTCATCCCGCCTCATCAGTTGAGTGGTATTCCAGACGAGAACATAAGGTTAGGGGCTGACATCTGTTTGGGTTTAAGTCCCAGCTTCACTACTCAATGACTGTATAATTCATTGATTTACCTAACATGGGCAGGCCTACCAGGATCCTTATAGTGCTTTCCGCCTCCACAACAACCCTCACACCACCCTATTGACTCTTCGTCTAAAGCAGACACTTGCCAACTCACCTCCCTGCTCCACTACCCCAAGTCCTTCCTGCTTATTAAAATGCAACATGTTTTCTTTTTCTCCTTAAATTGAAAATACCACTTAATAAAGATACTCCTGTGCAGCAGTCAAAAATACTCACTGCCATATTCTCAAGGCATTGTGTCTTCCAAAAAAGCTGGTCCACTTGACAAAAATTTCCAAGATCTTGCAGCTTCATGTTTCCTTGGATTTCCACATGGGATTTTCCCCATCATCTCTACCCAAGAGTCTCTTCAGTCCAGGTTCGTTACGGGGCTGGGGTTCCCTTGCTTTCTGCAGTAGTCCCAGGCAACGAGCCCTTCTCAGCGTCCAGATTTCATGACAGGTCATGGTGAAACACTTCTTGAGACCTTGGTTACAAAAACACAATATCTCTTGTCTACTATTTTCATATGAACTATATAGCCATTCCAAGACAGGAGCAAATCCTAGCTCAGCTCCAGGTATTAGACTGGTCAACAGTATTAGGCTGACAAGTCTGAATTCATTCTTTTCCAGGAAGCCTCTAAAAGCCCAGCAGCCCACCACTACCTGTTTCCAATGGCTTATAGTCTTTCTGATGGTTATGTTCTAGGTGCCAATGGAGGATAAAAGAACCTTTGATTCAACAGAATCCTTGTCCCTCAGCCCCAGGAGTTCATCACCTAGTTGAAAAGAGAAAAATATGTGTATTAATTAAAAAAATAATAACCAATGCACAACCCAGGCACAATGCTTGAAAAAATACCTGATATTAAGATGACTCCGTTTGAGCTAAGGAGTTAGGAGGAACAACTGATTGAGAAGTCAGGCCTCTGTGATATTCTCAATTTAAGGAGAAAAAGGAAACGGTGCATTTTAATAAGCAGGGAGGACTTCGGGTAGTGGAGGTCAGAGGTGGCAAGTATCTAGACTGAGAGCAGATTAGGGCCATTATTTTCAATGTGGGCTTTAAAAAATTCTTCAGACAAGCAAGAAGAGGAAAGACCAGAATACCTTCCATGTGAGCTAAGGATTTCAGAGGAGAATGCTGTCCACCAGAAGTACTGAAGCAGGAATACATAACACCGTCTGCACATATAGCAGGACTGCCTTTGTGTTG